ACTTACTTTAAGCTCTCATTAAACACACTGATAACAGAGTTTAGGTGCCACAGATTGTGTTATGTCATCTAGGAAGGCTGGTTGATTGCAAACAGGACCTCTCAGGAACACTAGTTAAGCTCAAACAAGACTGATTTCTAAACCAGAATTTCAATGTATTAATTCATAATAAGGAGCAAGTAAGGCTTGTATGTCTTATTTATGGCACCTCCTTTCCCAGTATCCAATCACTAGGGAAGTTGAGTGATTAGTAAAGAAGTTGCTAGGTAAGCATGGAATCAGAACAGGTGCTGATTAAATATCTTTACTCATAATAGAGAACGCTTCTCTAGTGGTCAGCCCCCAGATTTAGAGTCTTTTAAATTTGCACCAGTGTTTCCCAAGCTTCAGTCATTTGAATACCACCTTCATGATTTTACCATTTTTGTATTTTTAGTAGAGACGGGGTTAAACCGTGTTAGCCAGGACAGTCTCGATATCCTGACCTCGTGATCCACCCGCCTCAGCCTCCCAAAGTGCTGGGATTACATGCGTGAACCACTGCGCCCGGCCCTTAGTTTTCTTTTTTTTTTTTTTGAGACGGAGTCTCGCTCTGTCGCCCAGGCTGGAGTGCAGTGGCTGGATCTCAGCTCACTGCAAGCTCCGCCTCCCGGGTTCCCGCCATTCTCCGGCCTCAGCCTCCCGAGTAGCTGGGACTACAGGCGCCCGCCACCTCGCCCGGCTAGTTTTTTGTATTTTTTAGTAGAGACGGGGTTTCACCGTGTTAGCCAGGATGGTCTCGATCTCCTGACCTCGTGATCCACCCGTCTCGGCCTCCCAAAGTGCTGGGATTACAGGCTTGAGCCACCGCGCCCGGCCCAGTTTTCTTAATTTAATAAGTTTTTAAAACAAAACATTTACTTTAGCTTCAGTCTAAGCAATTATATTTCTGAAATCATATTTGCTGTGCTAGTTTTCTAACACATATTAAAATAAATATAGGCCGGGCACGGTGGCTCAAGCGTGTAATCCCAGCACTTTGGGAGGCCGAGACGGGTGGATCACGAGGTCAGGAGATCGAGACCATCCTGGCTAACACAGTGAAACCCCGTCTCTACTAAAAAATACAAAAAAACTAGCCAGGCGAGGTAGCGGGCGCCTGTCGTCCCAGCTACTGGGGAGGCTGAGGCAGGAGAATGGCCTAAACCTGGGAGGCGGAGCTTGCAGTGAGCTGAGATCCAGCCACTGCACTCCAGCCTGGGAGACAGAGCGAGACTCTGTCTCAAAATAAATAAATAAATAAATAAATAAAAACATTAAAATAACTATCAAAATGAAAACGTCCATGAACTGCTTAACTCAGTGGTATGTATACCACACCTTAGTAAATATTGCCCTAGCCATTACTGGAAAAATAAAATACAAAAGTTTCTCTGAATCCTCATTGGTATGCTGAACACCTCTCTCTGTTGAATTTCTTCCTCAGGTGTGTACTAGCATCATGGTATCTTTTACCATCATTATACCCATCCCCTCCATTTTGTGTTGATTTTACAGGGCTCCAACCTACAGTATTTTATTCTATTTTATTTTTTTAGATGGGGTCTCACTCTGTTGCCCAGGCTGGAGTGCAGTGGTGCAATCTTGGCTCACTGCAACCTATGCCTCCCGGATTCAAGTGATTCTCATGCCTCAGCCCCCCGAGTTGCCAGGATTACAGATGCCCGCCAGCACGCGCAGCTAATTTTTGTATTTTTAGTAGAGGCAGGGTTTCAGCATGCTGGCCAGGCTGGTCTTGAACTCCTGATCTCAAGTGATCCACCCACCTCAGCCTCCCAAAGTGCTGGGATTATAGGTATGAGCCACCATGCCCGGCCTCCAACCTACTGTATTTCATATTTTATGTTTAGTATTTGTGATTTTTTGCATAGTAAGAGATTCTCAAATATTTGTGTACCTAATATTCTTGATATTTTCTAACTATTCTCAAATATTTATAGTATCTAAGAATGAACATATACTCTACCATTTGAGGTGATTAATTTTGGCCTAGTGGTTGGATTAAAACAATTTTTAACAGTGTTGACGTGGCGCTAGGCACAATCCACATCAATAAAAAATCATTATTTGAATAAGATGAAGATAACGCTGAAAAGATAAAAAGACTAAAATATCAGTTCTCTTTATTTGTATTAACTTTGAGAATTTAGTGTTTCGAAAGTGTGAAGGGTCTTAACTACAAACTTTGATTTAAAACTGAGACTTCTTTGAGGAAATTGTCTTGCTTTAATCAATCTTTAATTATGGGATTTAGAGAATTTGGAGGAACTGTATACAATAAAGTTTTTTTCACCTGAGCTTTCTAGTTAATCATTAGACACAGCAGTCTTAAGATTTTAAATTCCAGTTGCCACTGCCATTCTTTCCACTAGAATGTTCCTTCAGATATGGGCCAATTTTACTTAACACCTAGCTTGGTACCTGGTGTACAGTAGGTGCTCATTTAAGGCTTATTTTACAACTAAGTGAATTCCTACCTTTTCTCTATGTTACAGAACATCACTAACACTAACTTAAGATCTATAAGAGGGAATCAGAAAATAGAATATTAGCTTCACTTTCTTGGAACACACATGAAGAAGCAAATCTTTACAAAACTGTCTTTTTTCACTATTCATGGTCAATATTTAAATTATATTATTTTTATCCACTGCTTATTTATGCTATTCAACTTCGTTTCTCATCAGAATTCACTTTCTCTTAACCAAGGATTCCTCTCACACATTATACATGCAGACTTTTTCATTAAGAGTCATTTTATTGCAATACCTGAGAGCAACAAGAATCTGTACTCTCCAAGTGAGTGAATAGCAGAGAATGTTCGCTAAGTGTTTTTAAAAAATGTCTTCATTTTAGAAAATTTGCCCAAGTTTTCCATACTTGAAAAAAAAAACCTAGTTGTCATTCTCTCTACATGATTTTATATCTTGCTTTTTCTGCTTAGTAAATATTTTCCCATAGAATTAAAAATTTTGCAAGAACAATCTCTAATTTGAATGGAATTAAAATACCTTAGAGGACCTGAATACAAATTCAGAACCTTGAAGATTGGTTGCTCTCCTCCACCATGCCTCGAGGGTATGTGATGTGAAAATTTGGTTTAAAAAGGGAAATTATTTAAAATGAATTATATCGAACTGTATTTTGGTTTGACCTTTGTTAAATATAATTTTTTTTTTTTTTTTTTTTGCCTAGTCTCGCGATCTCCACTCACTGCAACCTCCGCCTCCTGGGTTTGAACAAGCGATTCTCCTGCCTCAGCCTCCCAAGTAGCTGGGACTATGGGCGCTTGCCACCACGCCCGGCTAATTTTTTGTATTTTTAGTAGAAACGGGGTTGCACCATGTTAGCCAGGATGGTCTTGATCTCCTGACCTCGTGATCCACTCGCCTCAGCCTCCCAAAGTGCTGGGATTACAGGTGTGAGCCACTGTGCCCGGCCTAAATATAATCTTTTAAGGTTGGGTGTGGCGGCTTATGTCTGTAATCCCAGCACTTTGGGAGGCTGAGGCAGAAGGCTCACTTGAGGCCAGGAATTGGAGACCAGCCTGGGCAACACAGAGAGACTCTTTCTCTACAAAATTTTTCTTTTTTTAATTAGCTGGGCATGGTAGCTCGCCCCTGTAGTCCCACCTATTGGGGAGGCTGAGGTGGGAGGATCACTTGAGCACAGGAGGTTGAGGTTGTGGTAAGCTATGATCATGCCAGTGCACTCCCCTCTGGGTGACAGAGTGAGACCTTGTCTCAAAAATAAATAAATAAATAATAAATTCATTTTAATCACCTTGAGAATAATCTGACAAAGTTTATTGCTAACTAGATAAATCCTGACATACTTGGTGGTGATGGTTCTACAGATAAAAAGTATAGAGATAAAAAGTATGAAGCAAGCCTGAGCCTATTAAGTGCTTCATCCTTTATGTACCAGTATCAAACTGTGTTGCTATTTATGTTCCTGAATGAGATAGGAATTTCTTCAAAGATTCAGAGAAGGGAAAATGACAGAAACAACAACAAAAATGAGAACTACACCTTTTTTTTTTTTTTTTCTTGAGACGGAGTCTCGCTCTGTCACCTAGGCTGGAGTGCAGTGGCGCGATCTCAGCTCACTGCAAGCTCCGCCTCCCAGGTTCACGCCATTCTCCTGCCTCAGCCTCCCGAGTAGCTGGGACTACAGGCGCCTGCCACCACGCCTGGCTAATTTTTTATATTTTTAGTAGAGATGGGGTTTCGCCCTGTTAGTCAGGATGGTCTCCATCTCCTGACCTCGTGATCTGCCCGCCTCAGCCTCCCAAAGTGCTGGGATTACAGGCGTGAGCCATCGCGCCTGGCCTCTGAGAACTACACTTTTAAAATAGCCCATGGTCACGCTTTTTGAAGGGCTGGGGAAAATACTGAGGGATTTTACCTGCTTTGGGGTTGGGGGCTGGGAACAGAACAAGAAAATCTGATTGAAGGCAGCATGAAGTATCAGAATAACCCTTGGCCACTTTGGCTAATGCCGGAAGGAATGTAAATAGGTGGACCACAAATCCAAGCCTTGATGAATGACCTATGCTAGCACAATTTCCTCCCTCCTTCTGGAGCAGAGCCTGTTTTCTTCCAAAGTGGTGGACCCCCCAACTCTTACAGGCTTTTTTTTTTTTTTCTGTCTCACTCTGTCGCCCAGGTAGAGATCAATGGCAGATCTCTGTTCATTGCAACCTCTGCCTCCCAGGTTCAAGCGATTCTCCTGCCTCAGCCTCCTGAGTACCTGGGACTACAGGCGCCCGCCACCACACCCGGCTAATATTTGCAATTTTAGTAGAGACGGGGTTTCGCCATTTTGGCCAGGCTGGTCTCGAACTCGTAGCCTCATGTAATCTGCCCGCCTCGGCCTCCCAAAGTGCTGGGATTACAGGCATGAGCCACCACGCCCAGCCGAGTCTAACTTTCTTTACAACTTCCTGGGGTACCAGCTGGACGGAGTCTTATCCCTGCCCCCCTTACTGGAAGGAAAAGGGAATGCACCTCCTCCATGGGCCTCAGCTGCACTTTGAGGCACCTGGAATCCCCGGATGTGAAGCGAGCCTCTGAAATGCAGAACCCGAGGGGCCAACTGCCCAGGGACTGCGATGTGTAAAATGGGAGAGAGCACCGAAGAGGCCGAGTAGGGAGAGCATTATCCCTTTCCCCTTTTACTATCATTTTTTGTTAGAAAAAGGCAGGTGGACATCTTTGGCTTGTGGAGCTTGCACACGGAAAATCCAGAGCGTCTCCAGAATAAGGACCCCACCAGAGAACGTGGACATGAGTGGGCCCTCGGCCAGCCTTGTACTCGTAGGCCCAACAGGCCATTTGGCAAGGAGGCCAGAGCGTCGCCATAGGTACACGAACGCTAGCGTTTAGGGAATGCGCAGGCTAGAAGTGGAGGCGGGACACCACTGGACATCTGAGCGATGATTTGCTGGTGGCGCTAGGCACCAGCCAATCGTTAACAGACGCCATTTGTTGTTGGAGCACGCACCTGACGCAGTGGGCGTCTTGCACGTGCAGCCGTTTAAGCCGCGCGGGCGCCTGCGAGGACTTGGGAGAGCAAACAGCGGAGAGGTGAGTGGGCTGCCTTTCTGCGGGAACTGGCCTGAATTCGGTCGTACGGGCTCCCCAGTAACCGGCCTTTGGTCAAAGAGTGGATGGGGTAGGCGGGGTTTCGAAGCCGTCCTTCGGAGTCTTTCTGCCTCAGGGTCTCAAGAGTCCCCTGGGTGCCCAAAGTCTGGGCTTGAGGCCTGCAGAGGAGGCAAAGGGGCCTTCTTCCCGGCCTCTACACCGCGTTTTCTCTGAACAGAGATGGTCCTAGTACCATTTGTGTACAAACCCTCCTAGTTGAAGCTGATTGTCCTTTGTCGGTAGGATTTGGGCGACCCTGCCCTTCTTCCCTTTCCCACTAAAATCCAAGGCCTCCCTCTTCACCCAATTGCCACCTCCCCGCCAACTCCCATACTCCTGCCCCTGCGCACACCAACACCCCAAAGCAAACATCCTGTCCACCTTAGACGTTAATCTGGGAGGGAGATAATCTGGAAGGGAGAAATCTTAAGTAGTTTCTGAAAAAATTTTCCTCTTCCTTAATATTCAATAAGTCGTTTGGAGACTCTTTGAGGGAGGAGATAAATTCTATGAACAGATTTTTGGGAAAAGCCTAAGGCTCGCTGGGAACATGGTGATCGCTAGAATGACTAGGTAAGAGGTTCGACTAGTTTTTAAAGATAAAAAAGGAGATAAATGCCACCTTTAGATAAGAAGAGACCTAATTCCTTCTTTGGAAAAAGCTTCTGGGGTATCAGCACCTAGTTGGGTAGTTTCAAGAGGTGTATGTGAAACAGTGAGTTTATACTTTTAAAGTTATGATTCTGATCTAATTGAGTCCAAATATGCATTTTTTTTTTCCTGAATAGAACTTGAAGCCACCATGGGAGATGAAGATTGGGAAGCAGAAATCAACCCTCATATGTCTTCCTATGTTCCCATATTTGAGAAGGTAATAACATTTAAAGTTGAGTTATTAAATGCTATGGATTTTATCAAAGTTGAAAATCACTGTGGTGAGAGTTCTAAATTATACAGTCTGTGCCAGTGTTTATCTCCATGTGATTGTTATTAACTATTATATGGGGAGTAAGAGGCAAGCTACGCCTCGTATAGGATACAATAGCTTGAGAAAATTTGATAATTAAAAACTAAAATAAATGTAACAATATTAATGACCTAATTTAAATCTCAATGATTTAGGACTTTTTCAGGTGAAAGCAAACTTGGACAAATGTGGTTGATATCAGTGAAAGACCCTTGTATGGAAAATTGAAAACAATAATTACGTTTTGGGAGATATTTTGAATTCTGAAAATTGATTTTGTGCAAGGAGGGCTCTCAGAATAAATGATACCAGGCTGATTGAGTTGGTAACGTCAGTTTGTATGAATCTTCAGGTCTTTTTTCTTAATGACATTTGGGGAGTTACGTTGTAATTTAGCAGGGGACAGTGGGGTAAGCTTTTTGGGCTTCAGTTCTCACTTGGAAATGGGCTTTAAAAAGATTAATAGAAGGTACTTTAAAAGATAATATAAGAGATTATTTTTGCATGTGTTACTTGATGGTGTCTCTACAAGTTGATTTTTTTTTTCCCCCTTCAGAATTTCCAGTTTGAGTGTATGTCAGTTCTGACACTTTGATTTCAGGTTTTGCCTTAGTGGAAGTTCTTATTTTAGACAAAAATATAAAATATGCAATCTTTTGTCTTAGTTGAATTTGATCTATATGTGACGTTTATATTAAAATACCCAAAATACTAATATAAATTTATCATGTTTCTTGTCTTGGAACTTTTTTAAAGAAATAACATGTTACCTTTTTTTTTTTAATTTTTAAAAATTTTTGTGGAGATGAAATCTCACTATATTGCCCAGGCTGGTCTCCAACTCCTGAGTTCAGGCAAAATTCTCAAAGTGTTGGGATTACAGGCGCAAGCCATTGCACCTGGACTATGTTATCTTTTTATAGTTCTCTTCTCATCATAAAAATATTACAGCTTTTTTGGGAAAAGAGGAGAAAGTCACCTACAAATCTTGCCCAATAGACAGGCACTCCTGTTAAATTTTTTAGTCAAGTTTCTTTTGTTTTTTCCAGACATTTTTTGTTTGTTTTTGGTATAGAGTCTTGCTCTGTCACCCAGGCTGGAGTGCAGTCGTGCAATCTGGGCTCACTGCCGCCTCTGCCTTCTGGGTTCAAGCCATTCTCCTGCCTCAGCCTTGCTCAGCTGGGACTACAGGCGCATGCCACCATGCCCAGCTAATTTTTATATTTTTAGTAGAGATGGGGTTTCACCATGTTGGCCAGCCTGGTCTTGAACTCCTGATCTCAGGTGATTCACTCACCTCAGCCTTCCAAAGTGCTGGGATTACAGATGTGAGCCACCGTGCCTGGCCGAAACATGTTTTATATAGTTTTGATGATAGTATATAACTAATTTTTTTTTTTTTTTGAGATGGAGTCTCACTCTATTGCCCAGGCTGGAGTGCAGTGGTGCCATCTCGGCCGGCTGCAACTTCTGCCTCCCAGGTTCAAGCGATTCTCCTGCCTCAGCCTCCCAAGTAGCTGGGACTACAGGTGTGTGCCACCATACCCAGCTAATTTTTTTTTTTTTTTTGTATTTTTAGTAGACGCAGGGTTTCACTATGTTGGCCAGGCTGGTCTCAAACTCCTGACCTCAGGTGATCCTCCCACTTTGGCCTCCCAAAGTGCTGGGATTACAGGCATGGGCCACCATACCCAGCCATATGATAGTAACATTTGAATCCATCTTTTTTCACACTTCATCACTAACTATTCCATATTACAACTTCTGTAGGAATTTCAGTGGTGTTAACTTCTCACTCTGGTATTGTCATTAATGTTTACGTCTTATTTGTTTTAATTTGGTGATTTTTTTTCAAAAATGGAATTACTTGTTCAGAGGACATTTTTTATAGTTCTTTTACTTCCTTGTTCTCAATAGATTTGTTATAATACAAAGTTTAATTCACAGATACATACTTTATTCCCCCTGGTTTTAATAGCCATCTGTCCATTTCTTTTTCTTAGTTTGAGATTTTTGTCTTCATGAAGTGTTTAAGCAGCACGCTGCACTGTAGCATGTTGTGCATATTTATTGCATTGGGTTTCTGAAATTAAGGATGACTGTCGAATCTTTCAGATTTACCTTTTTGGGATTTTTATGCCATTCAATAACATAGTTTCTTCACATTGGGAAGACTAAATTGAATATGTTGATAAGTCTACCTTATGATGCTTAATACATTTGTGTTGGGTGAATTTGTAGTATGTCTTTTGCATTTGTCTGCAAACTTAACACCTGGTGTTGTGCTGGTTGTGCCATTAGTTCTTGGGCTTAGTTGACTCAAAGGAACATGGTGCAATCAGGATCTTTATTTGCCTTGCTAGGTTGAATAAAAAGTGCAGAGATGGGCACGTGTAGTGGCTTATGCCTGTAATCCCAGCACTTTGGGAGGCTGAGACAGCCAGATCACTTGAGGCCAGGAGTTCAAGACCAGCCGGGCCAATGCAGCAAAACCCCTTCTCTACTAAAAATACAAAAAGTTAGCTGGGCGTGGTGGCACGCGCCAGTAGCCTCAGCTACTCGGGAGGCTGAGGCAGAGGAATCGCTTGAAATCGGAAGGTAGAGATTGCAGTGAGCTGAGACTGGGCAGCTGCACTCCAGCCTAGGCAATGGAGCAAGACTCTGTCTCAAAAAAAAAAAAGTGGAAACTAGAGATGAATACATTACATTTTTATGTAGAAGAAATCTAAAGTCTTTTATTCCATTTCTTTTAAAGACACCATTTTGATTTGTTGTTCTAACTGAATTTGGTTTTCAAGAAAAAGCTGGCCTTTTCTTTTAAATTTATAGCAGTTTTGTCTGTGATGATCTTTTTCTGAGTGCTTCTCAGGAACTTTATTTGGAGACTTAATATTGACATACGCTTATATAATTTTGAAATAATATGTCATTGTTCTAGTAGAACTGATAGAATTTTGGGTAGAACTTCTCAATTCTAGATTTTAAAGTGAGTGTACCACCTGGGGATAGAATAGCGAAAGATGTGAAGTTAAGAAAGATTTGATAATCTGGCAATTATATAGTCCAGAAATCTCAACGGTTAGGCATTTGCACATTGCCTGCAGGCTTATTGGGGTGAGTGTTAGAGTGGATGGGTATGGTGAGTATATTAGATAATTCCGTTGCTTACTTACTAGCTGTAAGGCTTCTTGTTAACTGACCATGAAAGTAAGCTAGTATAGTGATCACTTCTGTCTGATCTATTTGCCATTTTTGTGGCACATTTCAGAAGGCAAAATCTCTTGTGGTTAAAGTGGAAACAGTAATTGAGTAATTAGACCATCCACAGTTATAATTTTATTAAGCAGCAGTAGCAAGGTTAGTAATAATTGTTGAGATTAGAAAATAAACGTATTATGATATGCCAAAATTGAAAATAAGAATACAGGTGAAAAAAATGTGTTCATCAAAATGCCCTTTTTATTTGTAGCTGCATATGAGAACCCTTACGTGTTAAACATTTGAAATTTCTGAATTGGTGCATTTGGGTGGTTTGAGAGATAATAATGGTTTACAGCTAAGTATTTTAAGAGGTAAGCTAATGACAAGACCTATGATTCAATCAGCATATCTTTGAGTTCTAGTAGGTGATGGAGAGATAGTGGTGAACATAAGGTGCTTGCTGTTACATTGTATTTTACTGGAGAAGACAGAATAAGCATGTTTGAGAACCAAATAATTATAGTGAAAAGTACTATAAAAATTAGAGAAATGTGTGTGTGAGACTGGTGTAGGATGGATTTAGTTGGAGAGGGAAGGCTTCTCTGAGACAGTGACTCATGAGCCTGAGACTTAAAGGAGTCCCAGCAGGACATCATGTGCACAGGTTCTCAAGGAACCTTTGAGAAGGAGAAGGGAACAAACTTGGGGTATTAGGGCAACAAGAAGAAGGCCAATGTATTAGTTTTCTGTGGCTGCTATAACAAATTAACACAAACTGGGTAACTTAAAGCAACATAAATTTATTCTTATAGTTCTGGAAGCCTGAAGTTAAAAATCAAGGTGTCAGCAGGGCTGCCCTTTCTCTGGAGGTTCTAGGACAGAATCTTTGCTGCTTCTAGCTTCTAGTGGCTATAGGCATTCCTTGGCTTGTGGCTGCATATCTCTTGGCTCTGTCTTCACATTGCCACCTCCTTTGTGGGTCTTTGTGTTATCTCCCTCTACCTCTCTGTTATAAGGACACTTGTGATGGCAATTAGGACTCATGCCGATAATCCAGGGTAATCTCATCTCAAAATCTTTAACTTAATTTCATCTGCTGTGACCCCTTTTCTCCTTTTTTTCCTTTCTTTTTTTTTTTTTTTTGAGAAAGAGACTTTTTCTGTCACCCAGGCTGGAGTGCAGTGGTGCAAATCTTGGCTCTCTGCAACCTCCACCTCTTGGGTTCAAGCGATTCTCCTGCCTCAGTCTCCTGAGTTGCTGGGATTACAGGCGCCCGCCACCATGCCTGGTTAATTTTTGTATTTTTAGTAGAGATGATGGCGTTACACCATGTTGGACAGCCTAGTCTTGAGCTCCTGACCTCAGGTGATCTGGTTGCCTTGGCCTCCCAAAGTTTTGGAATTACAGGTGTGAGCCACCACACCCAGCTGGTTAAGGTTTTTCGTGATAAAATTCTGTTGGAAATTATTTTTGATGTCTTTTTTCAAAATTCATCTTGGAATTTGTAAGTTGGACGTATGTGGGATATTAAGTTCCATAGCTTGAAGAGTAATAATAAGTGTTTCAGTTCTTTAGTGTAAGAGTGTTTTATAACACTTGTAAAACCAGTCTTTTTTTTTTTGCTCTATTCACTCTAGTATGTTGAGCATTGCAAACAAGAAAAAAGTCTTCAGATTTTGAATGTAAAATATTGGATAATTGTTCTCGTTTTAATGTTTGTGGTAGTAATAAACTGGAACTTTTTTTTTTTTTTTACTGTAGCAATTACCAAAACCCCAAGGCATTTCAAGTATGTTGTTATCTTTGTGCTTTTCATGATGACTCAGAAAAATGTTTGGACGACTCTTGAGCTTTTGTAAAGTAGTTTTTTTTTTTTGTTTTTTGTTTTGTTTTTTTTGAGATGGAGTCTTGCTCTGTCGCCTGGGCTGGAGTGCAGTGGCCAGGTCTCAGCTCACTGCAAGCTCCGCCTCCCAGGTTTTCGCCATTCTCCTGGCTCAGCCTCCCATATAGCTGGGACTACAGGCGCCCGCCACCTCGCCCAGCTAGTTTTTTGTATTTTTTAGTAGAGGCGGGGTTTCACCGTGTTAGCCAGGATGGTCTCGATCTCCTGACCTCGTGATCCGCCCGTCTCGGCCTCCCAAAGTGCTGGGATTACAGGCTTGAGCCACCGCGCCCAGCCTTAAAATAGTTTTAAAAGTCAGTGTCTTTGTGAAAGAAATTGTAGTAAATAGATGTTAGCTAAAGATGCCTACCTTGGTGCATTCTCTCTAGGTTTGGGACTTAGTTAAATGAACTTATTTGAAGGAACATTTTAACTGTTGTAATATAGTCAGTTGATTAAGAGATCATCTGTAGATTTCCTTTCATTCTTAAATTATTAAATTCTGATTGTCATGTGCAAGAATTTCGGAGCTCTATTCTGAACTTTTGCCATAATTAAAGGAAGTTTATGTGAGAAGGAGTAAAGGTGTGGATTGATGATAAGGACACCCTAAGAGTTAGAAGTGAGAAAAAAATTTACTCAAATTGTCCTTAATCTAGAGCTGTCCAGAGAAATGTTGGAAGTTTCCAAAATTAACCTGCATTCAGCTATTGATTTTATAACAAGTTGAATTTTCTAAATCCAGCAGTAATTCGACCACTGCCAATGTAATGCTTGTGTGTTAATAGTAAATAATTTTCTTTAGCCTAAAGTAGGGAAAGTGGAACAGTTAGTATTTGAGAGCAAAGACAGTCTTCAGCTACCGCTATGGCAAATTTGATTAAAATTAACCATGAATATTCTGATGCTATAGCTGAGGATATACCTTTTCATTGTAGTTGTAGTGCAGTGGCAGGTTGTGTATATAAATTGTTTTCAGTCCATAAGTGAATTTACTTTACAGTGAATCTGTTTTTTTTTTTTTTTTTTTTGAGACTGTGAGACAGTGTTTTGCTCTTGTTGCCCAGCCTGGAGTGCAGTGGCACAATCTCGGCTCACCGCAACCTCTGCCTCCTGGGTTAAAGCGATTCTTCTGCCTCAGCCTCCTGGGTAGCTGGGATTACAGGTGCCTACCACCATGCCGGGCTAATTTTGTGTTTTTAGTAGAAGTGGGGTTTCTCCATGTTGGTCAGGCTGGTCTTGAACTGCTGACCTCAGGTGATCCACCCACCTCGGCCTCCCAAAGTACAGGTGTGAGCCACTGAGCCCGGCCAGTGAATTCCTTTTTAAAACATGAGAGTATCATTAATTGGTTTCACTATAAATGCAGTAGAGGTTTTAAAAATTTCTGTGGTACTTTTCTAGAACAAAGATTAGTGTTAAATCACTAATACTCTATAGTATTGATGAATATACTGTAATATATGGAACTCAGCACACAGTAGTGTATATTGACCAGTGTTGGTTTATTCATGTATTACTTTGTCAGATTTTATAATGATATTTTATTATATTTTCTTTTCTATTTTTATTTTTTGAGACAGGGTCTTATTCTGTTACCCGGCTGGAGTGAGTGGTGTGATCTTGGCTCACTTCAACCTCTGCCTCACAGGCACAAGTGAACCTCCCACCTCAGCCTCCTGAGTAGCTGGGACTACAGGCTCATGCCACCACACCTGGCTAACTTTTTGTATTTTTAGTAGAGCTAGGGTTTTGCCATGTTGCCCAGGCTGGTCTTGAACTCCTGGGCTCAAGTGATCCTCCTGCCTCAGCCTCCCACAGTGCTGGGATTACATGCGAGAGCCACCACACCCATCCTGATTGTACTTTTCAGGAATATGGGTGACTTAAATGACTAAACTTTTGTTTTAAGTCAGGAGTCAGCAAACCCTTTCTATAAAGGGCCAGATAATAAATAATTTAGACTTTATAGGCCTTACTTGTCTGTCACAACTTTGCTGTTGCAGTGCTCCAATACTGTTTACAGAATCAGGTGGCCCACCAGATTTGGCCTGTGGCTGTAGTTTTCTGACCACTGTTCTAGTGATATATGTTAGTACTATATATACAATGTTAAAGTGAAGATGTCTTGGAATAATTAGTAAGGAAACATCCAGTGATTTAGAAAACCATACAGTATGTCATTATTTTGTTCTGAATAAAGCCCAATTGTTACAATTTTCTAGTATTTGTGAAATAAATGACACATTTATATTCAAAGTAGGAAACTAGTCTTTTCTTTCTTCCTTCTTACAGGATAGGTATTCTTCTGGAGAAAATGGAGACAATTTTAACAGGACTCCAACTTCATCATCAGGTATGTGGTATGTTTGGAAAACGGTAAAACCCTTTTTAGTTTAAGGGTTTCATCTAGTGAATGAAGAGCAGCAGACTAGTAGACATCTTGTAGAGGGTGTTTTAACAAATTTAGTGAAAGTTCCTTCTGATTTGGATATTGTGGAATGGGGGTACTTCTAGTTAGAGGAATTGAGAGAGGGGAAAGTATAGACTGTATTATTTGATTTAATGGGTTACTATAAAACGTTTGCCCAACTTGGAAGTTGCACATTCAGCTTCCAGGCTGCTAGGGCATCATCATCATCAGGGTTCCTGACATAAGGGAGTAGAATATAGGACTATAAGGTTGTTGAAGCAGGTTACAATGGTGATGACCTGTCACAATAATAATTGTTTAAGCCAAATCTGCCATACCATCAGGATATTGTGAGTTTCTTTGGGATCAGAAAACTAATTTGGGAAAGGTCTTAGGAGAACAATAGAAACAAGTGTCAAGGTAAAGGAACCCATATCCTTCCTGATGCACCCTCCTCCCAACCTCACTGTGAACTTTTCACTTTGGTTGCCCCTCCCACCATCATTTTTCCCTTTGGATTGTCCAACTCTGTTTTACAGAGTGGATGTAGATGGGAAGATGGGTGGAAGTGGTAGGACTAGGCTGGGAAATTGAGCTCACAGCAGTAGTTTTTCACATTGTTGAAGTCCAAAGCAGGATGAAATGCAATTGTTACTGCGTTAAAATAATTTTGACCAGGCTCAGTGGCTCATGCCCGTAATCCCAGCACTTTGGGAAGCTCAAGTAGGAAGACCATTTGAGACCTGGAGATCAAATGATCATCTGAGATCATTTGAGACCAGCTTGGGCAACATAGTTGGAGTCTATGTCTACAAAAAATTTAGGCCGGGCCTGGTGGGCTCACACCTGTAATCCCAAAACTTTCGGAGGCTGAGGCAGGTGGATCAGGTCAAGAGATCAAGACCATCCTGGCCAACATGGTGAAACCCCGTCTTTACTAAAAATACAAAAATTAGCTGGGTGTGGTGCTGCATGCCTGTAGTCCCAGCTTCTTGGGAGGCTGAGGCAGGAGAATCGCTTGAACCCAGGAGGCGGAGGTTTCAGTGAATCGAGATTGTGCCACTGTACTCCAGCCTTGTGATAGAGTGAGATTCTGTCTCCAAAAAAAAAAAAAAATAAAAATTTTAAAAATTAGCTGGTCATGGTGGCCTGTGCCTGTAGTCCTAACTACTTGGCAGGTTGAGGATTGCTTGAGCCCAGGAGTTCAAGGCTATAGTGAACTATGATCATACCACTGCACTCTTCCCTGGGCAATGGAGTGAGACCCTGTCTCTAAAAACAAGACAAAAACATTTAAAAAACTATGGTGAAGTATACATAACGTAAGATTTACCATTTTAATGTGTACAGTTCAGCAGCATTCGGTACAGTCACATCACTCTGTAACCATCATCCACCATCCACCCCCAGAACTTTCTTGTCTTCCCAAACTGGAACTCCGTACCCAATGAAAAATAACTCTCCATTTCCTCCTCTCCCCTAATCCTGGCAACCGCCATCTACTTTCGGTGAATTTGAGTAACTCTGACTTTACTATGAGTCTCTAAATTGAGTTACTATTATTTTTAAGGCTGACTAGCATAAAAGGAAGAGGGCATGGTGGCATCAGGTAGTAGTTTTATCATTTCTCTTATCAAAAATTAGCAGATGAGGTAAAACATTTTATGGTCAAGGGAGCTGCATGTTCACTGAAACCTGGCCTATGTTGGAAAACACCCGTGGTGAGGTAGTTTCCAAAATGTGAGGATACTTTGAGAGTTAGTTTATCAGGTTAAAGCAAATCTAATTCTCATGAGGATCTTTCTTAAGTTCAGGGTAAATATCTTGACAAAAGTTAAGTTTAAAAGAGATGCTTTTGCTATTTTCAAAACATATTTATCTTTTATAAACATTTAAACACAGTGGTTTAATACAGAAATACTCAGATTCTCAGAAGTTCTTGGAATCCTGCCTGCTGAAACCCCAGCAAAGGGCTAATTTTGCTTCTACCATATAAACTCTGTGTGTACTTAGAGTATTCCAGAAAGACAAATGGGTAAACGTAATCGATGCCACTTAACCTGTCTATTTGCATAGATCGCTAGGAGAACCCTGGTTTTTTGAGGTACAAACAGAAGCCATTATTTGTAAAGGAGTGAAAGCTTAGATCTATAGTATATTAAAGCATAACACTGTTTTATATTGGAATTTTCAATAAACTAGACTGAAATAACCACCAACTAAAAGCTAAGTTTTTTTTAGCATTAGACCTATGAATGTTTAGGCTAATGAAATGAAATCACTAATGAAAATCACTAGTGAAAAATATTGATTGCCTGCTTACCTTCTTCTAGATAACAAGTACTTTTTGTAGTTCTTCATAATTTTTTTATTTTTTAATGAAAATTTTCTTATTAGAAAAATGTAAAAAAAAAAAAAAAAAAAAGTAAACCAGGCCAGTGAATGTATGCCAAGCCAAAACCTAAATATGCTTATTGTTTTAAAAAAAGTAAAAAGGGATAAATAAAATCTGAAATCTTAGCCCCTAAATTTAGCCACCATTTGATGTCTATTGACTCTGATTTTTTAGATTCCTGTGTATATTCTCCGCATACGTGATTGTATACCACTGGCATAATATATTAATACATATATTCCTTTTATTATAAATACCTGTCTTGCTTTTCGTTTGCTTACGCATGCTTACGTTCCATACCCTTTTCATGCTCTTAAAATTGTAGACCTGCTTAGACCTGCTTCTTTTCATTCTGTATTTTATAGAAATGGAATCCTGTTATATCTTGCTTTTATTTAATAGTCATGGAAACCCTTCTAAACAACTGGTATTATCTGATTATTTCCAAAATTAAGTGAAAACAATTTCACATTATTTGGCTTTAAAATGTCAATAGGAACTGTAGTGGCTTATGCCTGTAATCCCTTTGCTTTGGGAGACTGAGGTGGAGAAGTGCCTGAAGCCAGGAGTTCAGGACCAGCCTGGGAAACAAAGTGAGACACTGTTTGTACAAAAAATTTTTTTAAACTAGCTGGGCATGGCGATGTGCAACTGTAATCCCAGCTACTCAACAGGCTGAGGTAAGAGGATTGCTTGAGCATAGAATTTTGAGGTTACGGTGAGCATTGATCACACTACTGCACTCCAGTCAGGCTGATGGAGTGAACCCCTGTCTCTTAAAAAATTCTGCTGAACCTTAGTTGCCTCGTTGTTTTTGAGGGTGGATCATTAAAATGCTGATTAGAAACTCAACTCTGTGCAGGGATGCACTGATGGGCTCTACTGTGAAGTGATTGGGCCAGAGCCAGGCAGTTTTGTGTGGGAGAGCAGGATCCTCTAGTCTCTGAGATTTAAGTATATGCTAGTTTCAGCCTTCCCTTCCTCCCTCTCTGTCCTCACTATATTGTACAGCTCCTATGTTGCTTTTGCTTATTTCTTCATTACTCATGTTTGATTTGAAACAAGCTGTTTGTGGGAGGAAGTTTCAGGGGTTTCTTGCCCTCCCCTTCCCCAAAGGAACAATTATTTTGTGTGTGTGTGTCTTTTTTTTTTTTTTTTTTCCAGAAAACTTTTTGCAAGTTTTATTTGCAATGCTAACTTTTAAAAGGCCACTAAAGTTAACTGGATTACAAACTAGACAGAAATTGCTTTACAAAAGGAGGGAAATACCAAAACGTTAGTTTCTATAGAGAATCCGCAGTTCCGTTTTATTCAGAGCAAAAAAAAAAAAAAAAAAAAAAAAAAAAACCTTTTAATCACACTAGAAGAAACTCAGCATTAGGTTTGGAATCTGTACTCAAACTATACGTACAATGACAGTATTCTGCTAATGCAGTCGATTTGCTGTTGTATTTGTCTACTTTTTTTTGTATTAATAATTATAAACTCTAGAGCAGTGCAACTAATATTTGGAACAATCTTTACAGTGTCAGGCACATTTCGCGTTTCTTCACACCATTAGTTCTGTGTACTTGGGCTTCCTCCCCTTCAGTAAAGTTGTTTTGATATTGAAAGTCTTGGGAATGTCCACAGGTGTTTTCTCCTTGATCTTATTGGCAGCAGTCTTGCATGTAACAAACCTTTGATAGTAGCTTGCAGCTACAGTAAGTTCAAAGAGAGTTCCTTGGTGAATTTTCAGGAATTCTTGATCCCAAACAGGATTTTTATCTGTTCACTTTTCTTCTCAGTATTCTCAGGAGGAGGAGGAGGGTCATCTTTATGGTGGGTGCACCATTGAATGACCTTTTAAAATATTGCTTCATTAACATTTGGTAGAGGAACTGGGTCATCATCTCCTTCAATCATTCATTCCCACATCTTCCAACATGATCTTGATAGTACAGATTGTTTGGTAGTTTCCACATTAACCTCAGATACTTCTTCATTGGAACTCCGCAACTAATTGAAAGCAGGCTAAAGGCTGATATGAGCCGGGCAGCATCAGCACAGAGAGGAAGGGTGGAGGACATGGGTGCTCTGTGTATGTTTTTAAATGTGTGTTTTTCTGAGCATATTTTGGTGTGTATTTTTAACTTAGAAAAATTATCGTGCCTAAGATTTTTTTTTTTAAATTTTCTCCTGGTCACTGTTTAAGATATATTCCTAATTGATAATTGATTTCCTTCTTTCTAATGACTGCATGGTATTTCATATACTTTTATCACCAAGTTTTATCTACCCCTATTTTCCCTCCGTGATAGGCACTGAGATTACCTCCTGTTCCCCTCTGCTACCATAGGATGGGCATTCTTGTATATGTTTATTTATGGGCCAGAGTGAGAATTACTTTGAATAGTGGACTCAAGAGTAGAATTACAGGGTTATGGAAAGGGATAATGGACTTAATTTGTCTAAATATTTCAAAAATTGCTCTCCAGAATAGCTATACCAGTTTATACTCCCGTCATTAGGTTGTGAGGGTTCTCATAGTCCTATATTCCCACCAACA